GGAACTCGTGTCGCGGGCACTGCAGTCCAGACACCACTAGTCACGATGAGAGACAGGAGTACAACCAACAGCGTCTGGTGGTGCATAAGGTTTTTCCCAACAAAGACGTAGAACTCGAACTCGTGAATGTCGCCTCGTATCCGTAAAAGACTTTAAATTCAGTACCGTACAGTAGATCGCGGAAACATCCAAGAATGGTGAAATAAGCTTTCACCCTACAGAGCAACAATTATTTTCCTAAGCGAACATTCAGTATGTGTGAAGTGTGCATAACCCTGCATGCCTAATCAATGCATAATCGAGTTGACGTCCCCTTTGGCTTAAAATTGCAAATGAATTGCAAGTGTTCGCCAGAAATGGTGAACACTTGCACTTAGAAAAAACTGGCAGTATTAAAGAGTTGCCATACTCCATGCACCTGGCCTAAAAGGAGAGGAGAGCATTCAACTACAAATGACGAAGTAAGGCAGGTTGTGGTGGTTTAACCACAACCATACCAACAACTCATTGCACTCGGAAGGTTGGCAGGGTGGTGCAAGCGTAGCAAGTTACACTCTTCTGCTTTATCATTTTTGAAGGTTCGTTTCAACTTGGACACTTCCTGCACAATTAATTTTAGGCTTTGTAGTCAAGCCTGCTTCTCTGGTAATACCCGCCTCCCCACCAGCATTAGGTATACACACACATGCATATACGTACGTACCTACCTTCCAACATCCAGCTTATTACCAAACCCTCCTCAACAACCATCGAGTCGCAGAAGTATGCATATTTGGTCTTTTCTACATCCTATTCCTCTCATATGACATTTCTGTCTTTCCAGTCACTTTGATAGATGGAGACCTCTTGGAACTATTTGTTGGCACAGGCGAGAGCAAAATGGTGTCGCATCGTAGGCTTATATACGAGCGACTGTCGCGGCGTTCTCACCCAGAAAGTAAAAAGAATATGCTCCACAGATAATTACCTTAAAGTAATGTCTCGCTACCACTTTATCATCAACCAACTGAAAGCATTGTGTTTACTTCCAATTCTAAACTCCCCCCTCCCCTTCCCTCAATTATCAAACCACCTAGGCTACTGGTCTAAGACTAGTAGCCCACTCAAGGTGGTACAAAGTTACAATCCGAAACGAGCATTCTGTAAACCATTATGACGGTGGTTGAGTGAATCGGGTCGGGATTCGTTGACAGTGCTCTATCATCTCTCTCTGGCAGCTGCACTTGTTTGTGCGACTGTGAGTGAGTACGTGAATGCTGTTACTTTCACAAATGAAGTTCTTCTAAGAGAGCCACGCTTCTGAGATTACGCATCTACCCGCTTACAGCATCTCACCTGTTTAAAATAAGGTACGGAATTTGAAGAATAGCACTCAAAGATGATCAATCTGAGAGTCTTAACAGGTTAACCGGAAGTATTGGAGCATAAAATCGAGGGTCGGCAGGTGGACTTCGTGTCGATTTAGGGCCTGCAGCCCTCGTTAGGTAATTGCCCACCCATCCCACGATCTCGCACAGTCCTTCAGTCGTTTCAGTTCCATGGATATTATGGTGCTACCTATCAGACAACATGACTCGTTGGCAGTTTAAACTAAAATATCCATTTCCGCTGGTCAGAGACTTCACGCAGTTGAACAGCGACGTAAGTTGATAGGCCGGATATCAAGCGAATCTTAGTGGACTTTTAATGGAAGGCTTCAAC